AACATATTATGATCTCTCACTCATTTGGGTTCCTACTCCGTGGCGGTTTTTTAAATTCCCTTCCCTTGTGAATAACTTGTCATACTTTGCCTATACCCTAGACCAATATAATTTGTATATTGTCTGGAAAAACATCTCACGCCTTTTTCGTTGATTATTTTTTTTACTCAATTTGTATCCATTTACAAAATATTGATAATATAATCAATCTGAATGTGATAATTTCTTAGAGTCCCATCAGTTGATCGAAAATAAATATTCAGATATCTTTGAATCTTTGATTGTTAATGGTTCACTATAAAAATGAAATAAAATACATCATCTATAATAGGCATAATATACAGAGTGAGTCATAACTATTGGAACATATATAGAATTCATTTATTTATTGGATTACAAGAGTTGATGCTGCAAGCTTATGAACCATTTTTTACAGTATCTAGTTGTTGAAAAATATGAACTCTTTTTTGGTATATTTGAGATAAAAACAAAATCAACAGAAAACAACTACATTTCCAGTCTATATGCCACAATATAATATAATCATGAAATCGGCGTTGATATTTTGTGATACCAGTAACCTTTTCTGAGTAGAATCGATTTTGCCGCTCCAAAACAAACGGAGTACAGAGTACAGACTACAGAACGCTCAGAATCTCCGCCCTAACAACACAGGGATGTACTAGGTACTTCCCCTCTTTGTCACACGGTACAAGGACATAATTGGGGTATCCAGGGAATGTCCCGCACATCCATACGTTATCCAATTCGTGTCCTTGGTATATCTGATATCTATTCACATCAGAGTCATTGACTTTCATCAAAATATTGAGTTGAATTTTTATGAAAATGTTTGTTTTTTTTCCGGTAAATAATTGTAATGAAAATAAAGAAAGTCAGAACTTCTCAAGAAATGACCATTTTTCGCAAACAGAAATCGTAAATGCATAATGCCCCTCATTTTTAAACATCCACAAATGATAATAATTATACCCAAATCCTAACAAAGTATTGTATTTATTCAGGTTTCTGCAGTTTGGTCCTGTTTAAAAATCTGTTTGGTACATAAATCTTCAGAAGGCATATCAGCCAATGGAGTAATAAGGTGCGTGCCTGAAAAAGCTGAAGGTCCCGGGTTCAAGCCCTACTCGACCTACAATTTTTTCTTTTGTCGAAGGGATATCCCTGGAATATCCTTGGGACCTCCTAGGGATATCCTTTCTTCGTACTTGGTACATCCCAGGGACGTACCAGACGGAAATCCCTTGGATGCTTTTTTTGTCAGCCAGCTGATGTCCCTGGGGCGTCCCTAGTATGTACTCTGTCCCGACAAAGGATATCTCTGGGATGTCCTTGTATAAAATCAGGGACGTCCCTGGGAAGTCCCCAGGATGTAATTGTGTTGTTAGGGCGACAATAAAGGACGACTTGGCATCCCTATCGCCGACAAACGCACCGAGTCGGCCGCCCCACATAAATCAAAGGAAATTATTGGCACTCCAAGTTTCGGCAATACATAGGTCGGATCATATACCAGTATAAAATACTTTGGATTGATAGCGGTATAGAATTGTCACGCAATGTTCCGCGTTTTTCATGTGATAAATATCAGTAATTTCAATAATAAAAATTTCAAAAATTGTCCATAGCTCTGACAAGAAAATGATTTGCGACAGTGAATTATCGTTTGATTTTGTAATTCGACATAATGAAATATGGAATTCCACTCAAACAGACCCATTTAGATTCAGTTCTAGAGTAAAATACACTAAGGTGACAACACTGGTCCGGGTTCGTGAATTTCAATCAAATTTATGAGCAGTTTATATATTGATATCCGCTGACCAGTTTATTCCACAATCGCATGATCTCACGTCCGTGATGCGCTCGTTAGAAGCCTCAGACGAATAAAAGAAATACAACTAATACTAACAAATTCGAATTTACCGCCATATTAGTCAGAATCGTACTGATTGATCATGGATTCGATATACAAGCGTTCCGGATTATGGATTGTTTAATTGTTCCAAGTCGCACGCCATCTGCATTCCAATAGATTCTCTTCGTAAGTGGCGCACCTGCCCGTCAAATTACGAACTATTGCTCCGACATCGTTCGACACTATCGCCGCCACTATGTGAGATTTCGAACTATGGTACGCCATCTAGTTGTGAGATTTTTTTGGACCTCGTTTTGCCCCATAAGGTTGGGCATCTTCCCAGCGTAAGCGTAATATATCAATCAACGGTTTGGATGACAATATAAGGTGTGTCACGTTATTCTAAATCAAATATGGCGGACTATCCAAGATGACGGAATAGCTATTTTTGATATACTTTCACAATAAGGGTATCAAATGAAAAGGCTCGTTGAGAGTAACTAGAAAAATGATGTGACGTCATTCTGAATCCATTATGGCGGACCATCCAAGATGGCGTAATGGTCATTTTTAATCTACTTCTACAATATGGGTATCAAATGAAAGGGCTCGTTGAGAGTAATGCGAAAAATAATGTGACGTTATTCTGAATCCAATATAGCGGGCCATCCGAGATGGCGGAATACCTATTTTTAATATACTTCTACAATATAGGTATCAAATGAAAAGGCTCGTTGAGAGTAACTCGAAAAATGATGTGACGTCATTCTGAATCCATTATGGCGGGCCATCCAAGATGGCGTAATGGTCATTTTCAATATACTTCTACAATATGGGTATCAAACGAAAAGGCTCGTTGAGAGTAAATCGAAAAATCCAGCTAGCGATAACTACAAATTAAAAAATAAATTAAAAGTAAAAAAAAATAATTTTTTAATAAAAAGCTTTCATTTAAACGCTCTAAAAAGAAGAAAATGAAATTTTTCTTAATAATTTTAACTATCGACTTATAACCTCATTATACAAAATGTATATGATCATAATAAGCTTGTCGCGATGATCAATATTTAATTAAATTGTAATTTTAAAAATTTTATCTCAGCAGATTTTACATAATTAAATAGGTACTAGTTCATTCACACAAGTGAATCGCGCGACAAACTTTTATGATCATATAAATTGTGTATAATGAGGTTATAAGTTGATAGTTGAAATTATTAAGAAACATTTCATTTTCTTCTTTTTAGAGCGTTTAAATGAAAGCTTTTTATTAAAAAGTTTTTTTTTTACTATCAATTTATTTACTCGTGACGCTATTGAAAGTATTGACATTGCAGTATTGACGTATCGCAGATGCACCAACATGATTTTCAACCAGTCAGATGTGAAGTTCACAAAAACAATTTTTTTTCTGAATAACTTCCATACTATCCTACTTTCATAATATTGCATCTATAGAGGTAGAGGTTTTTGGGTTGGCAACTTGGAGCGAAGTCCCCCATTGAAGGTAATGAAGGTAATAATGCGATTTGTTCCCATTGTAGATATTTCGAATTAATTCATGACTTATTTAAAAAAAGTTATTTGAATTAATTCACGAATCAAATCACTGTTTTAATTCAAATACATTAATTCGTGCCAATCCCGTAATGTCACAATATTTTATTGATACAAAATTCATGAAACCGTTCGAAATATAATTGGAAAAAACTGCATTTGAAGACCTTCCTCTAAAGACTCGTCTAAAGGGCTGTGGCGCCCTTATAGAAAGTGTTATCACTTATAATATCACGAGAGCTTCAATTATTTCGTCTTCGACTCGGGAGAATTTTCAAAATATTCGTGTTCTTGACAAAAATTCCGGATTGAAGCTAAAGTGGTATTCGGTAAGAAAATATCACACCGAAATATTATTGAAACATTTCTTGAATAATGACGATTTTTGATGTTTTGTAAATTTCGAATTTGCAAGTATACCTAATAGTATATTATGTAACAAGTGTTATAAACGTCCTTTTACTAACGAGTAGTTTAAGCACGAGCAGAGCGGAGCGAGTGTTTAATAAACGAGTGTCTAGAAGAGTTTATAAACGCGTTACATACTATGATTTTTCTACGAACTCCGAAAATTACATTAACATAACTGCAATTCCTGCTAACCTACAAAATAATTCGGAAGGAATGGGAATTGAGAACATAATACATGTAACTGCATGCAACCAGCGAGACACGAATAAGTGATATTGGTTGTAGATGTGTCCAGTCCATTGCTTACTAACCTTGGTTTCATGTTTATTGTCATGCTCAGCACAGAATAAATAAATTGTTCTCAAAGATGGATGCTTCATTTTTACACTTCTTGGAGATATGCAAGTAGCAGAACATCCTCTTCGATTTCACTTTCGTTTACTTTTCGCATATATTTTTAATGATGAATTCTGATACGAACGAATATTGTTTGAATAATTCTGATACAAAATTCGAAAATAACAGTTGACAGTTAATACAATTGACAGGCCAGACATGTCTCAAATTACTGAAGCTGTGTTTAATGAACTGCGTTGCCATGGTAATGTGTTTAAGGAATCGTGTTGCCATGGTAACGTGTTTAATATTTTGAATAAATCACAGATCGACAATCCGTGAATAATCGATCATTTAGCGTGGTACATATCCGTACGCTAAATGCCATTTTAGTTATGTGAGTAGAAAAATAATATTATAAACTAATGATGAAAACTTTTTATTTATTGACTTATAGAATGAACTCGAAATAATCTGAAGTTGAATGTAAATGTCATTTAACCTTTAAACGTCAAAAAATTCATAATTTCATGCTCCGTCCCCCAAGGAGGAAAAAATTTCCAAGAAATTGGTTTTATTGCAATGGTAATGATACGAAATGCAGGCTTTAAATTGATCGAAAATGTTTGGTGTGAAATTTTTAGACATAATTATGTTGATTCTGATTTTTCATTTATTTGTATCTGTATAATTACCTCCCGAAGTGTACGAATGTTATTCTGGGCCACCCTGTACAAGAAGTTCAAAATTTAAAAAATATACATATTTTTGTCAGTAGTATTGATTCAACTATTGCATTTTAAAATTTGTTTTATAGATTCAAATGGAAAACAATTCAAAAAGTTCTTTACCATCGACGATCCCAAATACGAAAGTCTGGAGGGGTGCAAGTTTATTGGTTACAAAGAATATGTCTTTATGTACGGTGGAGAATACTTGATAGGTCGAGGAAAGTGGAACTACAATTTGTGGGTTTTCGATACCATAAGAGAAAGATGGGAAAGGAAATGCGTGTTGCCATATCCGAGACGACATTTTGATACCTGCATTGTTGGCACTAAATTGTTCATAACAGGTGAATATAACCCATTTGAGTTTACTTTTTCCATAGAGAATTTACCATATTGGAAAAAGTTTGATATTTTGTGCTATTAGTACTCGGTAGAAAAATCGGCGAACTTTCACTTTTTTATAGATACTTCCTTGGGAAATGTTCCCCAGAAATCTCTGCTATCATTCCATCACTAGCATCACCAGTCAGATGAACTGAAAAGCTCCAGTCAGCACATCTTTTCGTTTTCAACCTTGAAATATGTCAAACAACACTTCACCAAAACTCGTACGTCTATAGAAAGGCAAAGCTTTGGAATTCTTTGCAAATGGTAGTATTCTCAAGAACTTTACTCAACCTCCAGAAGATAGGAAAATGCCATTCTCATTTCTCCACGATGTATTTCGAACATTATAGGAATTTTCTTTCGTGCGTTCCAAGAGATAAAAAAACTGATATCAAATTGAGTGTAATTTTTTGTCGAAGGCATTGTCGCTTGAAAATGTCAAATATAATTAATAATAATAATAATAATAATAATAATAATAATAATAATAAATGAACTTTATACACAAAAAGCCATCGACCGAGTTCCTTTAGCCACAATACAAATTTCATATACAGGGCGATTCATTGAGAATGGCAAATATCTGAACTACAGATAGTAAATACAAATATAATGAGATTTAGCCCAATATGACTGATGAGAATGTTGCTGGTTTAGGTGATACAGGGTATTCTAGGGGGAGATTGTATTTCAAAATTTCACAATAAAAAATCACGCTAGATCAAAAGTGCATCCCAAAACCTTGGTTTTCTGTTTTGGGCCAGGAGCTATTTCACTTCCAGTCAGCTGCTTATGATCTATAAGGCACAGATTTGACCTGTCCTGGAATACTGTTCCCATATTTTGAGTGCAGCATCCAAACATACCCTGAAACAGTTGGATTCTGTCTAAAAAAGGGTAATTCGTCTCGTGGGTGATGCCTAGCTCACAAACTCACTCACTTCTCTGGAACATCGAAGAAAAGTTGGCGATCTGGCTCTATTTTATAGATATTTTCATGGACACTGCTCTTCTGAAATATCAACAATTGTTCCTCCCTTGATGGCAGTCCCCGCGAGATTAACCTGTCGAGTTGAGGCTTCGCACCAATTCCTACCTCATTTCCCTTGGTTCTCACAATGTTCTCTGAACATTACAATATATCCCTTTTCGTGGGAACCAGAACATAAGAAAAAAAGTTTGAAATACGAAAGGTCGAAGAAGACTGTTTTCGATCTAATAAAAAAACAATTATTCTAGCTCTCGAAAATATGGTCAGTTTTGATGTATTTCAATATAAGAAATATCTCTATTAAACTACAAAAACACAAAAGCAAGCCAAATGTGTTGTCAATATGTCGGGCGAAGAGCTGCGCGAATGCCACGACATTCAATCACGTGACATGCAGGCGTCTTATTCACTATTCTAACTCAATGAGTCATTGTTAGTTATATCTCATTTTCTTTTCAGGGGGTACTGGTACTTTCAGAGTTACCCAAGAAAATACGTTCTGGTACGATTTCAAAAATGACAAATGGAGCACACAACTACGACTACCTTTCTTCGACAGACACTTGAAGTGCTGCTGTTTTTCTAACAAATACTTCATATTGAGTATCAGTAATAAATGTGGCTATTTTTTGATAGATGAAGATTTTGGCAATTGGATGAAAATGCCTCTCAACATAGACGATAGCCTGTTGAAAAATCAATCCGATTTCGGGCTTTTTACCTATGAAGATAAATTCTACGTGAAGGGTAGGTATACATATAGGTGTGTACATGAGATTCAATTTGAAGAATTAATTTGGCTTTCGTCACTGTTGCAATATTCCTTCGAATGCAACAGCTTGTATATTTTTGAACTTGGTAGTTGATACAAAATTTAATTTCGACCAAAACTGTTCCTTTATTTGTATTTATCCGATTGTGATCGACTTTTTTCAAACTGAGAAGCATGAAGAATTGTACTATTAGGAAAATGAGTGAAAAATCTTTCTACCGTTTTTTATGAAGAAAAACTAAATGCACCACTCCACTAGCGCCTCCCCAAATAAGGCGGGTGTATACAGGGTGTATCGAAATAACACCAAAAATATTCAAGAGGTGATTCCTTGTCATATTTTAGGAAATAATGTTCATATAAACATGTGTCCTAACTTGCTTCGTTTTCGAGATATTGGGTGTTAATATTTCCATGGAAAATCTTTTTTCTAATCATTTCTCAATAGTCTTTTCATAATTTCCAATAAAAAGTTGTGTTTTTGTTAATAGTAATATGGAGCTGCTTCTAGTGCCATTAGATTCGAAATAATTATTCCAGTGACGTCACAGTGAGTAAATTTATCGATATTCATGGTGTGAATGTCATTGTAAACCACCGGTTTTTCTGAGTTTCATATTTTTATTAGATTGAACTATTGAAATAACTACTTTTTTATCGTCTTTGTGATTTTTGTATCTAGCTTAGGTTTTGAGGAAACCATGAAAATTCGATTTGACTCCAAATTTCAATGTAGTTATTTTCAAGACTTCCATTATTGAGATCACTCAATAACCCAATTGGAAACATTTTCTCAGTCTCCATCCATGCTGAATTTTGGCACCATGGAAGCTTATACAGAAGGGTTCAAAATTAAAACAATTAATACTTCCAACTTCAACATCCTGTATCTCAAAAACGGAGCCAGTTAGGACACATGTTCATATGAACTTTATTTGTTAGAATGTCACAAGGAAACGCACCTTGAATTTTTTCGGTGTTATTTAGATACACCTTGTATAATTTGTGGATTGGAATTATATGCTGCAGAATTGCTATTTTCAACAAACAAATCGTTGTTTTAATTACATATCTGAACGGATCTGATTTTTTCACTGCTCCCCCTGGGGAGCACTGGTGTGTTTTTTTATGAAATTTTGCGGACTGGGTATTTTTTCAAGTCAAATCATCCCAATCTCCTCAAAAATCGATTTATCTTATGAAAATACACGTTGAAAAGTTTTTTAAACTTTTCCATAGCCCCCCTGGGGAGCACTTTATTACTCGTGTGGTTTTTAATAAAATCTTGCAGACTGGGTATTTTTGCGAGTCAAATCATCTAAATTTTCTCAAGAATCGATAAACCTTATGAAAATACAGGATGAAGAGTTTTCAAAATTTTTCACTGGCCCCCCTGGAAAACACATTACTCGTGTGATTTCTCATAAAATCTTGCGGACTAGGTATTTGTGCAAGTCAAATCATCTCAATTCATCGTGTATTTTATGAAATGAATGAAATTTTGAGAACATTGAGATGATTTGATCTGCAAAAAGTGCTCCCCAAGGTGGCAGTGAAAAAAATCAGAAACTTCCAATCGTGTAGTTCCATGTGCTGAATCCAGATATGCAATAAAAACAATGATCTGTTTGCTGGAAATAGCCAGCCCGCAGTATTTTATTCCAGTCCACAAATTATTCACACCCTCACACAAAATTGGTTTTCATTTGAAAACAAAATTGTAATTTCCTTACCAATTTGAAATCGGTTTTCACCGATTAGCCTAATGTCTTGACAGTTTGTTGTGACATTATGAAACTTCTGTAATTTCAGATAACATTTCTACAGGGTGATAATTGAATGGGTGTAAAATTGCATCGTGGTCGTCACCTTACCGTTCGAACAGATATTTTTTTTCTGTGACGGGAAAAAAGTTTGGCATTTCATCCTTGTTGGCAGGTTATAAAATGTCACTTTTCATAAATTACTTTTTTCCCGTGGGAAAAAAGTGAGTACTTCTTTCCCGGATATATATCACATATATATACACTGTTGATGGCTTTTGTTGTGCTATAGTTCCGAAAAATGAGTCAATAATACCGTCTCCGAGAAAGAACTGCAAGTCCTTTTATCTTCCATTCGATTTCGCGGTTTCGTATATTACTAAATAACCATTGAATTCGCAATTTCTTGAAATAAAATCACAAAATTAGACTGACAGAAGTGACATCAGATATTTGATTACTTCAAATGAATGATAAAGATGCCTACAACGCGGTGTCCCTACTGTTAAAAACTTATAATTTCACGTCGATAATTTTCAGATATCAAAATAAAGTAATATTTTCTCAATATTGATTCGTCCTTTCTTCTGTCACAGAAAAAAATAGTGTATTATACACGGGAAAAATATCAGATTTTAGCTCACGGTTTGTTGTCTCCCTCCGCTACGCGTCGGGAGACAACACAACCTGGAGCTAAAATCTACTACTTTTTTCCCTTGTATAATAAATAACTATTTTTATTTTTTTTCTCACCACCACCATGAAAAGTTACTGTATTTATGCATTTCACAATTTTCGACAATGACCGACCTCTATATTCCTTTTTCGGAACATAGCGAGTTTCATCATGTTTAAACATATTCTTCTTCATCCCGTGACAATCTGGACGTTTTTTATCGCATATATCAATCATCAAGAATAAATATAAATTTCATACTCCTGGAACTACAATCGTAATTTTTTTAATTTTATGATTTATCTTGACGAAAATGCAGCATTTTGATTGAAAATGCGTACCTTCATTATATGACCTTCGATCCGAGAAATTACAAAACTACTTCGAGGTCAAACACCAGACATCGTCATGACGAAGTAACATTATTCCCATAGTAACATAGAAAATTATGTTTCATCTACTGAACACTAAGTTATTCTCCATTCCATCATTCAGTATTTCTTGTATCACTTTGTATAGACTTCTTCAGAATTTTCTGTCTTCGAGCACAATCACCTATGCGACGACTATACATACAACGTTGATTCTTTGAAAAATAATTCCAACTTACAATTTTCAATTAATTGTCGAAAGAATGCATCATTCTGAATGAATATTCATAACACGATTATCAAAGTTCTGAATTTGATAATTCCGAAAACGTTCCGAGAGAAAGCATCAATCAAGAGAATACAGGTGAGAAAAAAAAATATAAATTATCTGTTCGAACGGTAAGGTGACGACCACGATGCAATTTTACACCCATTCAATTATCACCCTGTAGCAATGTTATCTAGAATTACAGAAGTTTTATATTGCTACAAAAAACGGTCAAGAGATAAGGCTAATCATCGGTGAAAACCGATTTCTAATTGGTAAGGAAATTCGTGAGTTATTCTACTTTGAATTCAGGCTATGTTTTGGGCCATCACGTTGTCAATGTTGACCAGTTTATAATTACACATGTTTCGCTACTCCCGGAATGTAAGAAAGTTATCTGTAACACTCTGTATACTACCTTCTCTTTGTTTTCTTGTTTTGAACTCATAATTATAATTCAATATGATGAGTAATATACCCGTTGTACATATTTCAGGAAAGGATTTGATAGAGTTCACTTCCACCGGGGACAAAATAACAGTTTCATCTGTGAAAAACATAACCAACAAAGACTGTGATAAAATGGAGATTACTGTTTGCGATGATACCGTTTATACCCTTTACGAGTACAGATTGGACAACAAAGAAACCTTTTCCTTGGAAAGGTACCATATGAAAACGGGGCGAATTGATTTCATCTTCCAAGATATTGACAATGATAGCATAATTGAAGCTGATGGTGAGCAATTCAAGTTCAGCAAAACGTTGAAATTGTTCTCATTCAACCACTATTCTCTAGTGGATACCAATGAAGTGATTAACGATTCTTTCAATGTATAAATAAAGAAACTGAACAGTGAACATATTAGTTGCCCATTAAAATTCGCCCATAAAATAACTGTACCTGGAAATAATTCCTGGAAAGCTGGAATTCATTGTTATCATTTTTTTTGAATAAAGGGATTTGATTTTTGCTTGCAACAAAATATTGCTCCCGATTTATGGTCATTATTAATTATATCATACAACACCCCACACTTTTTATCGCATCAATTTCGGATTTACCCTATACCAGGTGACACAGACTTGGTATACCTCCCCTTTTCTCATTCGTTTTACTAGTTATATTTCTGAAATTTGGAACATCGAATATGTTCACTAGAGGGTACTTTCTGGCATGTTAGGATTTTTATTTCATCTTCCGGTTTCCCTGGAAAAGACATCAGCAATGGGACAGCCTTTATCCAATTCCATAATTGGTTAGATATTATAAAGAATTCAACGATACCGGGTTTCATAGGGTTATTGTAAACTATTACAAAAATATTGTCCAGGTTAATTTTACTTGATTATTTGGGATTTTCCCTCCTCGTTTCTACAAAATAAAAATATGAGTATTATTTCAATATATGTGTAGTAAAACAAATCCCCAAAATGTCACTGCGTTTAAACAATTTTTCTATCAGAGAGCATAAAAGAAAAATCCAATATATCTTATTGTCAGTGACACTTTGTTTGGAAAAATGACGAGAAGAAATAGAAATATATTGAAAAGATATCGACTTTTTACTTATCTTTGGACGTTTCGGGAACGAATCTGCTCCCGTTCTCAACATAAAAATGCAAAATATTTTTCTTCGAAAATTCTGCTCGTTTGACACTTCTCAGTGTCATACTGATGTTGGCATATGAATGAGTGATGATGTTAGTATACAAATGAGTTACAAGATGAAAACTGAACATGAAAATGGAAAAATTACTTAAATAACCTAAGACACTATTTTAAACCGCGCATAGTGCGGTTGGGTAGCTGTTAGCGAACATACATTATAACCATCTCTGTAAGAGCCTAAATTTCAAAACTAGTTTGTTTTAAAGAAAACATTCAGAAGCACCAACATGTGGGTCTGAATTTGTTGAATATTGAATTCAACAAATTCAGACCCACATCACCAACAAGGTTTTCTTGTTTATAGCAATTCTTTCAGGATTCTGTGGATTTTGAGGGGAACTGTTTGTGGTATTTCTTTCACGGTCAGCTGGTATGTCCCCAGTATATTCAATCTTTTGTGGTGTACAGCAAAACACTCCAGCAAGATGTGGTGGGGTGTTTCTGGATGTTCCCCGCAGAATCTGCAGGTGCTGTCCTCTAAGCCAAGCTTTCTTAGGTGTTCTTTGAGTCTACAATATCCCGTTATTGCTTTGAGACCTCGTTTGAGACTGATTTTGCTGAGTGTCTCGATCTTGCTCGGTTGAAATTTCCGAGATCATTGGACTGCCGCAGTCCTGGAAGTCTTCGCCAGTATGTTGTTCTCATTGCTTCTTCAGTTTCATTAAGTTTTTCTTGGAAATAAGAATTCCCAAGGCAGCAGAATGGTTCTGGTCCGATCAGTGGCGTTGATGCTCTCTTTCGTGCCAGGATGTCTGCTTGTTTACATCCCTCCACTCCAATGTGCCCCGGCACCCAGAAGAGGATTACCATGTTGCTGCCTAGATTGTTGAGTTTGTCTAGGCATTCCCAAACCATCTTTGAGTTGATGGTAAAGAAGCTCAACGCTTTGATGGCTACTTGGCTGTCGGGAATGATAGCGATATCCTTGTTCCGGTATTTCCTGTCGAGGTTGAACTGAATGCACATTTCTATGGCGTGAGTTTCTATTTGGAGAACGCTGGGAAACTGGCCCATCGGTTCGGAATATTTAGTGCGAGGCCCAAACACTTCTGCTTCAGCTCCCTCGGGTGTTTTAGACCCGTCCGTATACCATAATATTGTATTCTTTCCCAGTGCTTGGATGGATTATGTGCTCTATTCTTTCTTGGTGCCTCGTTCTGTTCGGAAATCTTTCTCGAAATTGAACTTCCAGATAATTTCATCAGTTGGGAGATCGGCGAGTTGTGCAATTCTATTGGGCAGTAAATCCCCCACGTTATGTGCTTTGGGCCCGGCCTTCTCCTCGCCACGGAGGGGTGTGAGGTCCAGTATGACCCCAAGTACTGCTACTGGAGTCGATCTCATTGCTCCTGTTATGCAAAGACATACTAGTCTCTGCACCTTCTCTAACATTGTTCTTGTTTTGGCGAGTTCGGTTCTGCCGTGCCAAATTACTGCTCCGTAGGTGATCATAGGTGTCGCTATCATGGTGTACATCCATCGCAGTATTGATAGGTTGCAGCCCCATGTCTTTCCTGCGATCTCTCTGCACACCATCAGTGATGATTTCGCCTTGCTGACAATCTTTTCTACGTATCGATTCCAGAGATAAGCCCCATATACTCCACCTCTTGCTGGCATTCTAAGTCTACTCCGTCGAGATGGACAGTCCTGAAGTGCTGTTGTCTTGCTCTTCTGGTGAAAGGTACCACTTGGTTTTTGATGAGTTGATTCTCAACCCCACCGAGAGGCACCACCTTCTCGTGGTTTCTAGATCCCTTTCTCTGAGATCGCAGAGGGTTCCTTCGAATTCACCCTGCACCATAATGACTATGTCGTCAGCATAGCCAAGACAAGTGATATTTCGTTTCCGGTTAGTATTCCGAGTAGTTCGTCTGCTATGAGACTCTACATCAAGGATAGTACCCCTCCATGTGGACATCCCCAGCTTGTGCTGATCTGAAAACTGTTCTCACTCACTTTTCACTCGTTTCAGCAGTTCTTGTGGCCAGCATTCGGCACATGCACATGGATGTGATTCGGTCAATTCCCTTCTTCATCAGGGCCTTTATATTTGCTTTTATGAGTGGTTTCAAAAGTCCCCTCTACGCCTAAGCAGGCGCATATCGCATATTGCCTCTACTTACGAAATCGTGACGGCAGTATATATTCGCGGTAAAGGACCCCGCACCGCAATAGGGGGGAAATTGGCTTTCGGTGCATTTTCTTGAATTTAGGATATATCGTAGAACTCGTGATGTTGATCAGATGCCCCAATTATCAACCTTCTAAATTCAGTAGATTGGATTATACAGGGTGCTGAAGTTGACTTTTTCAAAATTTCGAATGGACATTGTGAAGTTTCCTTTTTGAATACCAAAATCAAATCGAATACGTTTTGTTTGTCCATGTGGCCGGTGAAAATCCACTATAGAGTTCAATGATATCTGCACGTACTCACGATATACAGAGTTGGTCCAAAAATAGCAAATGTTCCAATTATTTCCGAAAAAGTGAGCGGTTGAAATCAATTCTTTTTTGGATATTTCGTAGTATACTAATATCAACATCGATTCATGATAATTGCATTTCTTGTATCAGACTACATATTATGCACAAGATGTTCAAGTTTCCATGAAACCGCACCGGTCCTGATATCCATATCCATCGAATGATTGGAATCCCGTAAAACTTGGTGAGGAAGTTGATATAATTATACAGGGTGGTTGTGAAATTAGCAGTGGAGTTTTGTTGTAGTTGACATACTAAGGATTTCTGTCTTGTTTCTCAATTGCTCTGGAGTTTGCTATTTTTGGACCAACTCTGTATATCGTGAGTACGTGCAGATATCATTGAACTCTATGTTGGATTTTCACCGACCACATGGACAAACAAAACGTTGTCGATTTGATTTTGGTATTCAAAAAGAAAACTTCACAATGGCCATTCCAAATTTTGAAAAAGTCAACTTCAGCACCCTGTATAATCCAAACTATTGAATTCAAAGCTTTGATAATTGAGACATCTGATCAGCATCACGAGTTCTACGATATATCCAAAATTCGAGGAAATTCACCGAAAGCCAATTTCCTCCCTATTGCGGTGCGGGGTCCTTTCTAGCCGTTTCAAAACTACTGTGGCAATATTGAAGATTTTAGCACCTTAAAATCGACGAAAAAAAAAAATAAAAAAATACGGAATTGAAATGGAGTGATTATATTTGAAATATTAAAAAAATTCCACTATTCCCTTGGGATGAAATTTTTGGGTTTTGTGGCCTATCGGTCTAGATGAAGTAGTTAGACGTAGTTATGTCAGTAGGTGTCACGTAGCTCATCAATGACAAAAACCGGACAAACTCCCATATGGATACATTACTGTGAATAGCAGCTTTCCTGGAATTCTGTCTATTGATAACTTGAATTTGGAAAATCACCTCAAAATTTGTGCGGTGAAGAATTATTTCTGAGCATTTAACTCATTTTTATCATGCTCTATATAGATATTTTATGATAAGTTCCGCATTTATTCCAATATTATCTTCATGTTAGTAGACTCTATTTTTTGATGCAATAAATGTTCAAGAAATTCAATCTATGTTTGATTTATTTCATACGCCATCTTGATTAAAAGATGTATTTCATTTTAGTCATTTACAACCTAAATAAAGTGCTCTACAGTCATAACATGGAAAGAGCGAAAAAAGTAATTCATGTTATTTCAATCGATTCCTTTGCCTTATTTGATTTGGAGTGTCCATGATCTGCTTCTGTTCCGACCCACTGGTTTGCACCGTTGAGTCGGTGAGTAGTTCTCATGGCTTCGTGTTGTGTGAACAGGTGTAGATGCGGCAGACCTAACAGAGCTTCAAGAGACCTGGTAGGCGTCGTTCTCAGAGCACCTGTTATTCCCAGGCAGGCCAGTCTCTGGACTTTATCCAGTTCTCTGTTGATCTTGCCCTTAATGGTACTGGTCCACCATATAACGGATCACGGATACACCAGTGCTGGGCGAATTACCGCCGTGTATACCCAGTGGCGGATCTTAGGTGTGAGACTCCATGTTTTTCCAAAGGCTTGTCTGCATGCCCATAGCCTTCTTAGTGCGGTTTGCAATATGATCATTCCAAGTGCACTTGGAGTATATTGTAACTCCAAGGTACTTTGATGAGCTACTACACTTTCCGGAG